AAGAACACTGCGTCAATCTACTTTTCTTTGTAACACCTGTTTGTCATAGAATTAAATTTTCTGAAAAATTTCTCCAAATCCTTACCCATTTCATTTTTATCTTACTTTTCCTGTTACTCTTTGCTTAGTTCAAAGTCTCCAAACACTTTCTCTGCAAAATGAGATCGAGCCCTCTGCCCAGCACCCACACCTCTGAACAATCTCCTGTTTGTGTCTTCCTGACAAACTGAATAAGATGAGAAATCAAGCTTGTGATATCTTACCATTGAAGAAGTGTAGCTATTTGGAAGCGCCAGCTCAAGTTTCTTCTCTGTATTCCGTATCTGCCTATACCTGTGTCTTTAGAAACCACTACTCTCTGCAACACTCCTACCATTTCCTTATCTTTGTTCCTTTGAACCACTCTGGCCTGTATTTCTCTTTTTCAGTTTCTCCCAGCAGCTTATAATAACCCCTCATTGTTTGAGTCTCCAATCTTTATTTCCTTCACTGGTACTTACATAAGAATCAGAGCTCTCTAAGAACTCACCTGAAATATAATGTAATGATCATTAGATAAGTATGATATATTTTTAAGTGAGTTATTAAATTGATGTGTCTTTTTAGACTGAGGTCCTATTGTAATGCTTGGCTGAGGTCTTGACTATGTGACATCACAGCACGGCTACAGAAAAGGCTACATATCCTGAGATCTCCACCTGGATGTTCCAGTTACCTCCACTCACTCATTGTCTTTCTCTCGAAACTTCTTCCTCACCTTATATTTATTACCCTCATTAGTGGCAGCTCCACTCACCCAGTTAAGCAATTCCAAAACGTCAGATTTTTTCCAAGCATATTTCCCATATCCTCCAGCTAGTTATTAAATCCTGCTCTGTTTTCTAAAAGTCTCTCTAACCTATCTTAGTTTAGATTCTTCTCCTATTTCACTAAAACTAGGGCAACTGCATCTTCATTTTCCTGTGGCCTTCTAGCTCTTCCCTCCCTAGCTCTTCTAAAACATTATCACGGTACCCATTTTCTAAAGAAAATCCAATCATATCACTCCTGTGCTTAAAATTCAGCTTAAAAACGCTGCAAAGAGCAAGGCACGGTAGTTCACATCTGTAATCCCAACACTTTGGGAGGCCAAGGTGGGCAGATAGCTTGAAGCCAGGTTGAGATCAACCTGGTTCACATGGTGAAGCCCTAAAAATACAAAAATTAGCCAGGCTGTGGTGGCACACACCTGTAGTCCCAGCTACTTGGGAGGCTCAGGTATGAGAATCACTCCAACCAGGAAGCAGAATTTGCAGTGAGCTGAGATCTTGCCACAGCACTCTAGCCTGAGTAACAGAGTGAGGTCTTTTCTCAAAAAAAACAAAACAAAGCAAAACAAAAATAATGCTGAAAAGGATTATCTAGGCTATGATAAAGTTTAAATAATATGACATTCAAGGACCAATTCAAGGACCATCACTGTCTGGCCCCAGCCTTACCAGACCTCCCTACCACAAGCACACTGAGCTCCCAACTCCCAAAGAATGCCATGTTCCTATTTGCCTCCTTTTCCTTGCTATTGTTGTTCTCCATGGTTGGAATACCCTTCTCCCTTTGCTTGGTCTTTAGGCTTTAAAACACAGTTCAAAATTCGCTTTCTCTGCAAAGTCTTCCTGAGCTCCAATCATACCTCTTTCCCGGAAGAGTAAGTGACCACTACTTCCACATTACCCTGTGGTGCAATTGTTTGGGTCACTCTCCTATTTAAATTTGTTCTCATTCATCTTTATCTGGCACATAGTACACCCTCAATAAATGGTTACTGAAATTAATATTTTCTGAATAAAATAATAACTAAAGGAAAATTCCACAGATCCAGAAGTACACTCCTCCAAATACTTTGCTGCATTAAAGAAACGGGCCCAGGAATAAAGAGAACTCATAATGTGACTGTAACAAACACATGAATGGGTTGTTTGTTTTTAAAAGCTAAGTGGTTTAGGGAGGGTAGGGGGAGAAGAAAGTACATTTTAAAGCTCTAGCTCCAGGCCAAGTAATAAAAATTGTTGCTTTAAGGTTTTTTTTTTTTTTTTTTTTTTTTGGGGTTTCACCATAATATTGTGAGCAATGGGAAGGTCTATTCCATCACATCAGCCTTCAGGGCAGAAAGTTTCAGCCTCCTGAGCTAAATCAAACTGGCATCAGCTCTTGGTTTTTCAGGCGGCCACAACTGGTCTCTGCTTTCCATGGGGCTAAACTTGGCTGACAAAAAAGAAACAAAATAATTTCCCACTTATTTTATGAGCCTCTCTTTCCTATTTTGCTCTCATCAATTAATTATAAGGATTCTGGAAACCCATCTTGCATTCTTATCTCTGGATTACACAGATGTAGGCATTGTTCTTTGTCTACACTAGGGGTTGTTAGTCTTATAAAGAAGGAGGTTGGGAGGCAATGCCTTACCAAGGGAACAAAGCTAGTCCAAAAAAAAACACTGCTTGGCACTCATGGTTCAAAGCCCTTACTTAAGTGCCATTTGCTGATGATAGCTCTCAATGTCACTCATTTTATGTTTCCTAAATTGGTAAGTCTGAACATGTTTAAAATTAAGATTCTTGGGCACCTAGGTCAAAGTATCAGAGTCTCCCAGAATCTCAATGGAATTCAATAATTTTCAAAATGATACAACAATCAATTCCCCTATAATTCAGTCTCAGTCGTTTCACCCTGTACTCCCATTCTAAATTCATTTACCCAAATAACCCAGAGTTTGTATATATGCTTGAACACACACAGAAACCACATTCTTCAAAGTCACACAGTGTTCCTGGCAGGATTTTCTTGTTTCTGCGAGAAACCCTGTTTCCATCTGCTTGAGTTTTGAGTCCTAACTTTTCCATTTTCCAAGTACTGTTTCTAGTTAAGGTCGAATAGGAATTACCATAGTATCTAGCTCTTAGGTATACAGCGACAACTAAATGGGGCAATAAAGTAAAAAGATTAAATATAACAGTGCCTGGTGTATGGTCAGTGCCCCATAAATATCAACTTTGTAATATTCCGTGCCTGTATGACACATGAACTCATAACTGGCTCTTTGGGAAAAGAGCATGAGAAAGCTGGCCCTTTTCAACAAGCAACACGTTTATTCCACTTCTCCTTATAAACTTGATTAACTGAAGTAAGTAACATTTATTTCATTTTACTTAACACATTTGGAACTTTGTGTCTGTTAAATGTAGCATGCAAAAATATTTAAATATGTATGTATAATGACTTTTGAAGTGCCTTTAAAAAATCTCCAAGGTCCATCCAGCTTCAAAATGTGATCTATGATAACCAATCTCAAACGCATGCAAAGAAATAATGATGCAGTTTCCCAAGTATACTAGGAATATATGGCATTGTCAGACTGGGATGCACTGGAAACAAGTCAGACCCAGGACCAAGAGCCTGTGACAATGTAGAAGAAAATCTTACCCTCCTTTCTCCTCACCAGCCTAGGGTATATTATACTTATCTTGAGCTCCCAGGTTCTCTTATTGCAGTGTGGAGAAGAAAGGGAATGAACTGTAAATAGTAGAGAAGAAAGCAGAGACAAAATGCTACAGAATCTCAAACAGAGCAGGTGAAGTAAGCAGAACTCCATGAAATCATCTGTAATTTCATCTTCTAACCCTGATAAAAACGAATCCCAGAGGTTTAACTCAGGAAAGGTCCCTAGCTAAACAGCCACATTTTGGAGATTAAGAAATTAAAACCTAAAGAGATCAAGTGGCAAATCCAAGGTCATCCAGCTCTTCTGGAACCTGGGCCTGGGAACTAAGAACTGCTGCAGTGACCAACTCTATCAAAGCTATGTGCTAAGCCTATGTGTACAAACAGATAGTGTCTCTCTGGGCCCTCTCTTTAGCCTCCTGCAAATCAGCCAGCACCTGTCTCAAGAAAACAGGCAAGATTCTTAACAACTCTGAATTCAAAAGAAATGCCTGGTTTCACAAACAAATTGGGGTCAGGTGATTCTGCCTTTAGAGTCATCCTCATCTTTAAGAAATACATGAAATAATATTATAGTGACAATGATTCTTTAAATGTCCACAGAAATGAACAAAACACAAGCAAAAAAAAAAAAATCTAGGCATATTTTGTTTTAAGCAAACACATATAGCCAAGTCCACCAAAAATGGAAATACCAGGGGGCATTTCCAGAGGTTATTTAAACAGAAGAGAACTCTTTTTAAGTGGTCCCAATCACAACGTTCCATTTGCAGAAGTGCGAAATGTACACAACTTTTTGGCAAGCTATCAGAAAACAGGAGTTGTAAGCCTGCGTCTCCACTGCTTCCACTTCACGTATCTTTATTTTCACTCGTGCACTGGTTCATTCAGCTTGATCTCGTACGTAGTCATTCACTTATTTGTTAATTCACTCAGTTCTATGGCATAGGTACTCATTCAATTACTTATTGAGTAGCTCTGAGTCCTAAGTCAGATAGGACTTCGCCCTCATGGAACTTAGATTCTAGGAGAGTCTAGTAGCAGAAACTAGGCGCAGCAAAAGCGAAAGTGCACGGTAAAATGGGAAAGGAACCGCAAAAGAACTGCATAAAGCACATTGGAGGCTCGGGGGACCAGGAATGTTCGCAGAGGCGGGATGAAGGGGGCGGCTTGGAGCTGAACCCTGGAGCTGAGGGGGAGAGAAACCGCCTTGGGAAGGACTGCTGAGGGCTGTGCTTGCTGCTGTCCCGCCGCATCCTCCTCCACCCCCACGTCACTCACGGCTTCCCCATTTCTAGGCTCGGTGCCTTCGGCGTCACCGAAGGGGCAGCCCCAGGCTGCCACCCTGCCGCCCCCCAGCCAGGTCCTCCCGTCACTCCCACCAAAGAGCGTTGTTGGAAGTCCGTTCCCCTCTGCTCCCTCCCCGGGCCGGCTCCAGCCTCAGCCCGCCCGCCCGCCGCGGGTAGGCTCCAGGGCCTGGGCCCAGCTGCCCGCGGGCACTGCCAGGTCGGCGGCACACGCACCTGATGGGGCGGCTCTGACGGCGGCGACGGAGGCGGTGCCCAGGACCGGGCTCGCGGCCTAGTCTTACGTTGGCGGCGGCCACACCCCTGACCAGGCGGGGGCCCTCCGCGCCGCCTCGGGACTGCAGCCCTGCTCGCCCGCCAAGCCGCGGGCCGAGAGGCGGGGCGAAGGCCTGACTCCGGGGCCGGGTCGGGCGCCACCTCTGGAACGCCTGGGGGGTGTCTCACTCGGTCTCCAAGGGCGGCCTCAGGGCCACGGATCGACAGGAAGGCTCCTCAGCTTCTAGGCTGTGGTTTCTGTTAGAAAATTGAGTGTAGCCCTGAGTCTCGAGCCCCTAGGCCTGACTCCTTGGTGCAGGGGCGTTGCCTTCAGACTCGGTGCGGAGACCAGGGCCGCGTGCTTTTCAGAAGCGCAGCCTCAGGCGAGGCGAGCAGCAGAGGCCTGAGAAGGCACAGGGCTTGGCAGAAGGGTCCTGTGCTTCCTCAGTGGGTACCCGTGCAGGTAGAGAAGGACGGGGCTGCAAAGCCGAAAGGAAAACGCGAAAGGTTTTTGTCTGTCTCTGAGCCTGAGTAAAGGCCATGCTTCCTGAGCTGTCAAACGCCTCCCAAAGGGAAGCGATTATTAAACCGTTTTCCCATCCTGGCATTTGTAGGATTGTTAGGCGGTGATGATGGAAGGCAGAGGAGATGACCCGAACTGAAGAGATCAGAAAGAGTCTTTTCTCTTTCGTGTGTGCCTTAATTCTATGAGGGTGCCCAAGAAGAAAGGAGACTCATCTGATTACCAGGGGTGGCTTATCTCAACAAGTTACACGCATTCTGGTCACAGAGTATGTGCTCAGTGTTTTCAACGGTTTATGTTTTGATAAGTGCAAATTCCTTTGTTTAACGAAACTCTTATCAAATACAAACAGTATCTTTGTGAAACACTGAGCAGTTCCGGTCTCTCCTCTTAAAAAAACAAAACAGAACTTTTAATTAAAAAAAAGAAAGTAAAAGCACATGTTCACTAGGTAGGAAAACACACACACACACACACACACACAATGTGCAAAGTCCACTCACCTTCAGTTAACAATCCTTCTAAATCTTACTAGCCCTGTTGCCCGCAGAATAAATTGTGAACTCTGAGGCATTAAAGGGTCCTCATAAACATGGCCCTGGCCCACCTTTCCAGAATCATCTCTCGGATGCCATATCCAGCCCCACTGAATTACTTTTTTCTCAAACTATCAAGGGTAAAAGACACGTTTTTATTATTTCCAATCTGACATGGACCATTATTTCTGTAAAATACAATTCAAAACCTGCTCGCAAATGAGAAAAAAGGCAAAAACTACAAGCCCAATTTTTATTACAAGTGTACAAGTAGGCCAAAAGTATAAAATTAGTTTTTCAATTTTTGGTTGTTGTTGTTTTTAATTTCTAAATGCTTACTCATGATTTCTATACTTACCTGTTCATGGACCAGTGAAAAACTGTTCACTGACTGGCAGTGGTGACTGTAGTTTAAGTGGCACTAACTTCCTGTTCTTTAATTATGTCAGATGCTTTTCAACTTCTGGGCCTTTTCTCATGTTTAATGCCAACAAAGTTCTTTCCCACTCAAGTTTCAACTCGTAATAATAATAATAGCTTCGCATTTATTGAGTGCCTTGTGCTAAGACTTTAGATGCATTAACTGTGAATTCTTATCAGTCCTATGAGCTACTTATTATCATTATTATTTTCCCCATTTTACAGATAAGGAGATGGAGGATTAGAGAGGTCAAATCACAAACCAGTGAGGTACAAAGTCAGCGTTCTAAACTGAGCTGCCCTGATTCTGGAGCCCAAGCAATCAACCAATATGCTGGGCTCTTCTCTGTGAAACCACCTCATTTGCTTTCAAGTTGAAATTAATCACTCTTATTTATACCTCTAACATTTTTTACCATTGGCAATGCAGCTGTGCTGCATTGTGGGAGACCCTTCCTCGTGTGAATTATCTGTGTTATCCACAGCTGGCAGGCAGGAACAGCTGAGTCTACTGAACTGCAGAGATGGCGGCTTCCCCTCCCTCCAGGAGCTCCATCCCAGGGAGAGATCAGAGCTCTGTTCATAGAACCTTTGCTGGAGTGGTTTAAGGAGATCCTGCCCAGTGAGGAGAAATGAGTTGGGTCCTGCTTACAGAAACACTCTGGCTGCTTTTTACCATTCATGTCAGCTTCCCACACTAGGCTTTAAGCTTCTAAGTCCAGTGACATGTGTCTGCTCACACTAATCACTGGAAGCAAAGCTCATTCTCATCTTTGCATTACTGCTTTTATGCTTACTTCATGATATGTTTTAATTATTTGTTATTGTTAGCATCCTCTACTAGACCATACAATGTTCAGTTATCTTACCAAAAACGTTTTTATTTATTTAACTGAATAAGCACTTCTATAGCATGTATAATGAGCCAAGTACTATTCCAAGAATTTTAAAACCTCGCAAATAGACCTATAAAGTAGATATTATTTTATCACTATTTAAACTGTGAGGAAACTAAGGCACAGAGAGGCTACCAGTAAGTTGCAGGGCCAGAGTTCTAAACCAAGCAACCTGCCTGGCTCCAGAGTCTATTTCTGAACCATCATGCTATGCTGATTTTCCAATATCATGTGTTCTTCCTGCTTAAAACACTTCACTGCAGGGAGATCAATTCCAAGATGGTCAATTAGAAGGCCCTGCCCGCAGCACTCACGGAGAGGAATTAAAAGGGCAAGTGAATTCAGTACCTTCAACTGAAGTATCCAGATTCTTGCATTAGGATTGACTAGGTAAACCACCAGCCCCTGGAGAATGAAAAAAAGTTGGATGGGGCTGGGAAGCCTACCTGAAAGCAGCACGGAGCCAAAGGAAACTCTACTCCACCCCCAGCCAAGGGAAGTGATGAGTGATTATGCAACCCAGGAACCGTGCTTCTCTCATGAATCTTTGCAACCTGCAGAACAGGAGATCCCCTCGTGAGTCCACACCACCTGGGACTTGAGTTTGATACACAGAGCTGTGTGTTTATTAGCAGTGCAGCCACTCAGGCACATAGAAAGAGACACAGAAGTTTTACAAACTTTGGCCCCAGGATTTCCAGCAAGGCAGGAAATCCATCTCTAGGAAGGAGGCTGAATCCAGGGAGCCAAGACAATTCATTCCTCCTCTCTGGGAAGCACCTCCTTAAGCCATTCCAACAGGGGTTCTATGAACAGAGTTCTGATCTCTCCCTGGGATGGAACTCCTAGGGGGAGGGGACGCTACTGTCTCTGCAGTTCAGTAGACTCAGCTGTTCCAGCCTGCCAGCTGTGGATAATATTGATGGTCCACAAGAGGAAAGGTCCCCCACAGTGCAGCACAGCTGCCTTGCCATATTGCAGCCAGACTGCTTCTTCAGTGGGACCTCAATCCATTTCTCCTCATGGGTTGGTCCTCCCTGCAGGGGCTTCAGTCACTCCAACCAGGGCTCTATGGATAGAGCTCTGCTACCTCCCTGGGACAAGGAGATTGGACAGGGAGATTGGATTATCTCCCTGCCTTTGAGAGAGACAACCACCATCTTTATGGTTCATTGGACTCAGCTGCTCCAGCCTACCAGCTGTGGAGAATACAAGTGGTCCAGAAGAGGAGGGCCACAGCAAGGGCACAGAACTTGGCTGAGGCTGAGATGGCTGAATTGACAGAATTAGGCTTCAAAAGGTGGGTAATAACGAAATTTGCTAAGCTAAAGGAGCATGTTGTAATCCAATGCAAAGAAGCTAAGAATCATAATAAAACAATCCTGGAGCTGATACCCAGGATAGCTGGTTTATAAAGGAAAATAACTGACCTGATGGAGCTAAAAAACACAAGAACTTCCTAATGCAATCACAAGTATAAATAGCAGAATAGACCAAGTGGAGGAAAGAATCTCAGAGCTTGAAAACTGTCTTTCTGAAATGAGACCAGCTGACAAGAATAGAGCAAAAAAAGAATGAAAAAAAACCTCCGATAATATGGAATTATCTAAAAAGACTGAACCTGCAACAATTGGGGTACCTGAAAGAGATGAGGAGAATGAAACCAAGTTGAAAAACATACTTCAGAATATCATCCAGAACTTCTCCAACCCAACAGGACAGGCCAACATTCAAATTCAGGAAATCCAGAGAACCCCAGTAAGATACTCCACAAGAAAATCAATCCAAAAACGTATAATCATCAGATTCTCCAAGGCAAATGAGAGAAAAGATGTTAGGAGCATCCAGAAAAAAAGGCCAAGTTACTTACAAAGGGAAACTCATCAGACTAACAATGGACCTGTTGGTGGAAACCCTACCCAGCCAGAAGAGATTGGGGGCCAATATTCGACATTCTTAAAGAAAGGAAGAAAAGATGAGTCAAGCCCAGGGGCACTTCCTTTAATCTAAGTTCCATCAGTATCCATGACCCTCATCCACCTCTAAAAGATTCACTTCCACTATCTTGCTTCTTGTATTCAATAATTATTTATTAAACATTTAATATATTTATATTGTAATAAACCATATAATGCTAGTAATCATAATGATATTTCAATTCAGAACAAAATTTTAACGTTCAGGACCTGGACAAAAAATTTTTTAAATTAAATTTTAATGTGTATTTTTTTTTTTTGTTGTGGGGAACTATGATGGGGCAATCAACATTGTGAAGCATAAAAACTAGGGTGATAAAACCCAGAATGGAGAGCATTGGGATAGAAAAACAACTTTATGGAAGAAAAGAAACAGTGTAAAATTTCTGACTCTGTAAGAGTTTTTCCAGGCATTTTTTAAGTGTACCATGGGAGTATCTGCTTATTGCAGAATCTAAATTCCATTAGATACATTTAGAAGAGGGATATAACAGTTTTATCTTGAAATGTCAATATTTATAAGATGCGGCAAAATTTTTTTTAATGTTACAAAAATGTGCCAGGGAGTATATTAGCCAAAACATTTGAAAACCAGGGGTTTACAGTAGACAACTTAGAAATTAAACTCTGCCTCTGCCATTTATTAGCTGTGTACCCACAGGCAAATCACTTAACCTCTCTGAGCATTCATTTTCTTATCTATAAAATGGGAAATAACAAAACCTACTTAAAGGATTAAATTAACCTTATAGATGTTCTTAGCAAGTTTGGCATATGCTA